GACAGACAGACAGACAGACAGAGGCACGTATGTGTGATCATGCCTATACCTACACATTTACACTTGGTATGCCGTTGCTCTTGATCTTGTAAACTCTGCATTCAACTAGTGCAAGCTGTCAATCATACACTCGGTCAGACATACATGACTCCCAACTGGAGCTGGGAACTTCTAGGTCGCATACGCCTGCAAACATACTCTACAGACTTCGTATGTATGTAAACACATACGACATTCTGCAATGACTGGCTTCAGCGGTCATTAGATCTTGACATCTGGGTACAGTCGTATCCGGCAACAGTCGCATTTAAACTCTTTTCCACAACGACTGGGCTCCGGCAATGTTTAGCCTAAGCCACGTCCACGGGAGTAAAGTTGCTTCTGCATGCTCTGCCAGTACTGGCGCTCCAAATCCTGGAGGGCAACTTCGAAGCACCCGAGCCATGACACTATGACATCCCAGCCCGGAGGCCTGTGTCACCAGCCCTGGCTTGACCTACACGGACAGAACGCTCTGTTAAGCCCGGCCACAACGACGACGACGATGACAAGGACTGCAAATTGCCGCAACACTCTCGATACGTTGCCTTGCTCGGTTGCGCCGAGCTGGATTTCTTGTCCTGCGTGGCACTGGCGGCGACTGTTTGTCCACTGCACCTATTCAGACGCATTCCCTGTGCATTACAGCCACGAGTCCTTCTCAGCCCCCATGAGGCGTAGGAATTTCGCTTTGTCAGCAGAAGAGTCGAAAGAACTCTGCTCCCATGACGTCCTCCGCTGACGAGACTGCAGGTCTTTGCAGGCTTTGTCTCATCCGCTTGACCCCAGGATGTGATCTTGGGAAGACCAAAAACTCGATCACAACGTCACGCCTTTCCCAGGCATTCTCCCCTGGTGCCGAAACCAGCTTGCTGGGCTCATCCTCAGACTCTCCAGACTCCTGAAGCAAGAATTGCGCCGAATAGATTGAGAATTGAGGCTTGCAAGCTCGGTATCATGGACATGTAATCCACCTGCCTCGCTGCAGGCTTTGGGCTTGGGCTCTTCGCACTTTCCGGCTGCGAAGAGTGCCTGCGCACAGACATCTACTTCAACCATCGATTCAAGCCTGTACTCAAGAACAGTTGTCCGACACTCGGCACGAGCTTGTAAACACACAACCACACATGCATGCATGCATGCATACACTGCCATACATTGCCATACACTATCACAGTACATTATGATCGATACATAAAGTACATTACAGTACATACATACATGCATACATACACACACACATATACATATCAGGCACAGTCTGCCTCTGCTTGCCGTCTTGCAGAACAGTCTCTCGCAAACGTATGTGTCTCAACATGTCACAGAACCGGCGCTGGGAGTGCACACTCACACCTTGCGATTTTCCCGCTGCTGCTTGCGCTTCTCTTCCCCTGCAGTCCTGTTTGGGGTCCTGCAAGCCGGCTGTTGTTTGATGCCCGGGCAGTGGATGCAAAAGCACGTCTCTCCTGGACCTCGCTCGTCGTCGAGGGCGCTCCGAATCATAATTGAAAGCAATGCCCTGCTTTTGGTTCCTGCTCAAATGCGCAGCGCAGCGCGGGGATTTGAGAGAACGCTCCGCGCGGCGCATCTGTCCTCTCCGTCCAATCTTCGGCCGAGCTCATGGCCGTCAGGAATGGGCAAGTTGTGACTGGCAGAAAGAAAGCAAGGCATGATACTATCAGAGTCTATCAGATTAACATGTTGTTGGCACCTGTGAACTGCAAGTCTATCTGTGCAGCGCACACACACACACATTGGTGACGAAAGTCGGCTTGATGTGCTGCGGGGTGTGTTGTGCAAACAGCAGTATCGAACAAGTGGCTGCACTGGCCTTGAGGCGTACTTACCCACTAGAGTCTTCTGGCTTCGGCGGCTCTGCATATCGAAAGACTACATATGTGTACATGCTTCGCGGGAGGGCTGAGACAAGGCCACCATCAGAGCAAGGCAGTGATCGAAAAGGCTACGCAGCTGAAGTTGGCAGTTGAAATGTTGGCAGCAGGGCATACTTCACGGAAGTTCGCGGGTGATCGGCATGTTTTCAGTCACTGGGATGGTCTGGGCTGCGACATGCCTCGCCTCTGATTGTCACTGTTCACGATCCCCGACACGAGAACAAGAGCCGCATTGGCTCTGTTTGATCAGCGCTGGCCCGGAGCTCAATGAGAACAGCAGGTGGTTAGATTACAGCCAAGACTCAACCACACGTTTAGCTGGTGTGCTTGAACTAAGTCATAGCATCGGTCTCTCTGGCCCCTCGCACCACTCAACATCTCACAGGAGTCTGAGTTCTGCCGCGAATACGCTTCTGTACATGTGGCCTTCTGCGAGTCATGCTGAGACTCGATGGCTCAGGACCCTTAAATCAGACTTGGGTGGAAAATTGAGTCCAGGAGCCTTTCACGCCAATGTGCGAGACATGAGACACATGTCTCGAAGCGAAACAGCCGCAAACTTCCCCAAACAACAGTTCAAGACAACCGACAGGCTGCTGGTGCCACCGATCCGAATCAGCGCATGATGCCGGGCCAGTCCAGGGACAAGTAGACGTCTGCGTCTGGCTCCTCGGGAGTTGGGCTTCTGAGTGTTTTGTAATTACCAATCTTGCGACAGAGGAGCACGATGCTGGAATGCTTGCCAGGGCGAACGTTCGCTTCTTCGTTCGAGGCTTTATGCAGTTGCGTGCTCCTTCTCAACTATTGCTGCTTCCAGGTGGCTGCACGACCAGTCCAAGTGTCACCCATGTCTGCGAGATCATGACGTGTGAAGCTTGCTAAGCTGTTTATGCCCATCCGCTTTTGCTTCAGGCTCTACTATCGACATGCCTTCATGCTTTCCATCTGCCGTTCCAAGCATGATCCCCTGCCTGCACTTGAAGATACTTGAAGCTTGGACGAGCTGGGGCTAAGCGCTGCAGCCGAGGAGCACCGGAGTAGCTGAAGGAGGGCGGTGACTTCTCGATCTCCTCCGCCAAGTCGATGAGCTCTCCCTCTCTTCCTTCATGCCTTGGGAAGGACTTCCACCACTACTTTCATCATAGGCTCTCTCCCGCAAGCGTCTCACATCAGCCAAGGCACAGATATTTGATCTTAGATGCAGAAGGTGCACGGACGACAATAGTATTCATGCACGAGGTTACATTGAGAGCATCAAGGACCGACTGCGTCACAGCAAACCTGCAAAAAGAGTGCAATCCGGAGACTTGCAGCAGGAACTGCATCTTCTTTGTCAACTTGGGCTGCTTCTCCCCCTCAACAAACTCGAAGACGGAGGCCTTCATGTGGCAAACTTGCCAAGGTTCACACTGCTTCGAATGCTCTTCGGTCCTGTCTTCACACCCCCGCCTTCTGCCGGATCTCTTCGTCAGTCATTCCCCTCTCTCTCAACTCCTGCATCAGTTTGAACTCAAGCACGATGCTCGGATTGGCAACATCCAGCATGCTTTACCACAGTCATGGTAGATTCAGCAGGCAACGGTCATTCATGAGGATCTTCTCGGCATACGCGAAGCGCATCTGTCAACGCGGTTGCCACAAGGAGACATCCGTGCCGACCCCAACTTCACACGCAGTTTGCAGGACCTCTCTTTCGGCTAGTTTGTAGTCATAGGGGTTCCTGAGTCCCAAAAAAACTCCGCATCGGCTTCGCTGGCATGTCAGCAAACTTCCCGACCGAGACACCAGTTCGGATTCTCCTTGTACCCAAACTCTGTCATGTAGCCTTCCTTCTGCCACCACCACCTAAAGTGCTGGAAACAAAGAGGGGAATCAAATCGCTTCTCTCTGGGACAAGATCCGAAAGTGACGGCAGGCGACTTGTTCATCATGGAGTCCTTCCACTCGTCCGAGCCTCTGATAACCTCCTTGTGGGATCCTGTCACGGAGATCCGCCTGTCAGAACTTTTCCAGGCATCTCCACACCGTGCCAAGGAAACGAGCAGAACGCGCCTGGCTGACAAAGCAGGCTCACGTGTTGACGGACTGACACCAACAAAGTCCAGCGTCTTCTGAACGCCTCCGCAATCAGATGCACACTCCAAGCATGGATTCCCCGCGACATCGTACCGAGGCGGTTGCTGCATGCCAGCCACGCTGCGGCTGCAAGTGCAAGGAGCACCGGACCTTGGCTGGCAGACAACCCGAAGAAACAGGTCTGCGCAGCCATAAAGCTAAGCAGCGTTTGTAGACGCTACCCTTCGACATCATCAAAAAAAGCGAACTAAAGAGCAGCCTGTGTGCTCGAGCCAAAAGAGGCAAAGCAAAATCGAGCGCACCTGGACCTGTACCTTGCTCTTGAAGTATAGGAGGGCTCGATCTCAGGATGTCTGCAAATGCAGGATTTCTATGTTCCGGTATGCGCGCAATGGCTTTGCTCTCTCTCTTTGGAGACCGAGAAGCGGCCTTGCGATCTAAGCCGGAATAGTTGAGAATCCAGGCCGCACCTATCGACCTATCGCTACTGTCAGCTGGTTTCCTAGGCACGTTGTCTCATGAAGGCTGCACTGTACCAGGCTTGCTGCTCACGCTGATCGATCTGAACTCGTCCTGGCTTTGCAGTCCAAGTACATTGGTACTCTCACGACGGCACACTGCAAACGGGCCTCTGTCATCAATGGAGCAGTGTCATCTTCAAGCTCTACTGACGGTGGAGGAGGAGGTTCTTTCCCATCCTGAGGCAGAGAGCCACAGAACATCCGACTTTGACCTCCTCCCCGCACGTTCCCTCTTCCATTGTCAACTATCGGGTAATACCCAACCTACAACCGCAGGAATTCTGGGCTGCGATACCGCAAAGTCCCTGTATGACATGCTTGCAGGGGCGGTCTATGGCAGTCTGTAGCAATCTTCGTTCAGGATTCGGGAAGGCGCGTGTGGCGCAGCGTTTTCCCTTACGTGACTTGAGCTGATCCCGGAAATGTGTGTGCAATGCGGGTGTGGCGGCTCTTGTGTGCAGCAACAAGGGTCGACCCTTGCCGAGTAATTCACACAGCCTCTCCTAGGCTGCAGTTGGAATGCTTGCATGTGCTCGTGTTCTTGGGTGCACTAGCAGCCACTTCACAAGGAGTCAAGGCCTGCCTCCAAGACGCCGCACTGGACGATTCGGATGGGCACAGCTGGGCGGCCGACCTAGGGTGCTTGCTTCCAAAGTGGCAGGGCCAAGATGCCACCAACGCGTATCCATTGCTGGCGATGTACTCTGGTCCCCAGTTCACCGATCTCCCTCACCACCCGCATGCCTTGCGAGGTATCATCCAAATCCCTAGCTGGGAACTGTCTTCAACAATTCATGAACTGCCTTTGATGACCGTGCCGAAGCAAACGTGATGGTTTGTGAAGGCTCTCTGTTGCCTTGGCGGAAAGGCAAGTCAGCATAAGCTTAGGGCTAGCAGTGGCAAGAATAAGACCGTGGCGATAACGTAATCATCCAAATGGAGGAGTTGGTATTCTTGCCCCAATTGCACATTGCCTTGAAGGCCGAACTGTTTTGATGTTGGCGACTGACACAACCTGTGGTCGCGTACTAAATCACCATCACGCAGGAAACTGATCTCGAAGTTCTCGTCTGGAAACGCCTTCACAAAGTGACTTCCGTCTCCACTGAGCGCATCACGCGCGATGCTAAAAAATGAAGGTGCGCCTCTCCGTATATACTCAGTCCACGGGTTCTTCCCGTGCCGTCCAAGACATCACCACCTGTCAGAAATGGGCCGTGATTCGGGCTGTCACCTCTTCAGAAAACAGCCTGCTATGGCACAGCCCGACTTGATCAAGTGGATGTTCGTGTTCTGGTAACCTGGGGCGACTCGGGCTCGGCTCCAAGCTTTGTGTCACAGCCAAGCTGCAGCCCAAGGCCAGAGCCAATGATGCGCTCCTTGATTCGGTAGCCTTTGCCTCAGCACGTTCTGAAGCCTGCAGTCTGTGGCGTTCGCATGCTCTTTGCACCGGGCACAGCTGAACGAAGTTCTCACATGTCAAAGGAACCTCGGGACATGCTCCAGAAAAGAATTAACGTTTTAACGCCCAGCTGCCGGCACGAGGCAACTCAAGAGTCCGAGAAATGCACGGTGTCTGAGTACAAGCCCACGATGATGCGCCCGGCATAGCGATTGCCGATGCCGATGTCCAGGTAGCACCTTGCAAGAAAGTGACACTTCGCCCCAAAAACCAGTTGAGTGGCCCGCCTGTCCCTGACCAGCTTCTCGTATGTCCTTATTGTGTCAATCTTGGACCAGATTGGCATGTCGATGCAAGACACTGACATAGCGCGGCGCTACCCTTTTTTTCTGCATGCGGCAAGCTCCTGGCTATGCAAGGTTGTCTTGCTGCCACAGCACTCTAGGACCTGAGGACAGCTTTGGACTTTTAAAAGATGCCTCGTCAGCATGCCCGACGCCTTTTGCCACGTTGCGAGCTCCGCTGGCTCGCTTCTGCCAAAGGTCGAGAGTTAGGCCCCCTCACTTCGATTCGTCACCACCGAATCTCGACGCCACTTGGAAGCCAAACAAGGCAAAGAAGAGCCATCCAGCGAATGAGGTGTATACCCACTGATTCTCCTGCCCGATGTCTCAGGCTCACACTCAGCGTCGCACTAAGGTCCACTAGGTTGCACCATCAGCTGGGAAGCCAGTCACACACGTGGGCCATGAGTCCTCATCAAAAGCGGAATAGCTGCCTTTGTACGGCGAGTAATCCTTGGATAACTCATCCACCTCTATCCCTCCCCTCCCTCCCCTTCCCCTTCTGCCTCTCCTCCCTGTCCTCCACTTTTCTTCTCTTCTGTGAGTCTGAAGGCTCCATCTCTTTCGGGGATGTATAGGAGGGATCTTCTTCTCTCCGAGGCGGTCAGAGAGTGTGTGTGCTCTCTCTCTCTCTCTCTCTCTGTCTCTCTGTTCTTCTCCCAGGAATTGGGGACGGCCCTGTCTCCAGTCACCCACACTCACACCACAACTCATGTTGGTTCTCCCTCCCCCGCAGCTCAGTCAGTTAGTCACTCACCCACCCACCAATCCCTCGCTCTCTCCCGCTGTCTTCTGCCTGCCTGCTTTCCTGCTTGCCTGCCTGCGTACCTGCTTGTGCGCTCGCCTGCTTGCCTCCTATCTGTCCGTCTCTCTGTAGCTTCCTCTCTCCTCTTTGCTCCCATGTCTGCAATCTTAATATGTGCAGCTCGAAAGCCTGCGCTTTTGCAGCGACTTCGCCGACAAGCCAGCCCGCTGTACCCAAAGAAACCGGGACGTGTGCTGCGTGTGTCCTTGCAGAGGCCGTGGAGACCCGCGAACACTCTGTACCGCACCGTCTCACGACGGAGTCCTCGTCGGCATTTCCTTCCACGCCGGAAGGAAACCGGGCGAGCAAATCTTCAGGCCCGCGATCCAAACTGCCTCACAATTCGAGATGTTGAAAAAACTGTCATTGCACCCAGAATGATAGAAGGAAAGCGCTCGAGTTTCGACAACAACAACCCGCTGTCAGCTCTTCACAGAAAACCAACCATTCACAAGAACGGCCGGAAAGCCGAAAGCAGTCTCTCAGCATCCTCCCCTCCCATCAAGCTTGGCACGATGCTGACTCGTGGCCACGCACGGCAACTGATGATGACAGCTGATGCATGTTTCCTTTATGAATATGTTGGGCTGGAGCAAAACTTCTCGAAGACCGCCACAAGTGGCGATTCTAAAGCACACAAAAAGTGACTGTTGAGCCTGGTGACAACCAAAGCAAATATGCGGCCGGTCTTGGAACCCATTGCGACGACCGTGAGAAAAATAAACAACCGGTCGCCAATAACTTGCAAACGCTGCGGAATGTGCCGGGGTGATGCATACAAGCTGTGCTCCACTTCTGGACTCAAATGCCTGGGCACGTGGCTTTGCTTGTCGCTGTGTGTCGTAATGGTCCTGGGCTGGTGGTCTGAATAAACACATCTGATCCCACAAGCTTAGCACGTTGCTTCCCTTGCGGCCGCGATACGTAAACAAAGTAAGCTGGGATGCAACCACCGATCCCAACTGCAGCCTGGCGTAAGTTGCCAAGCAACCTCTGGCTGTGCGACACGAACCAACATAAAACCGTGAGTCCTGCACAAACCCGGTACCACAGCTTCATATCTCACTGTGGAGCCCTTAATGTGGCGGAGCAACGGGCCCAACCCATCTAAATTGATTGGCAGTTGACCTGAAGGCGGCAATTGGCTTGGTGACGCAATGCTTCTTGCACCACTCATTCGACCAAGCTCCATGCCCAACTTGGCGAGCTGCATTGGCAAACATGGCAAAGGTGATTCTCAACACTTTGCGAAAATTGGCAACGCCATGCTGAAAATTGCCCGGTGTATGTAACGTTCCAACAGCGCCGCAATGAACCCTTCCACAGCAATATTTTCAATCAGCCCCTGAACAACATGAATCTACAAGACCGGTTGCTCAACTCATATGTACGCGTTAAGTGGCTCAAAGCTTCAATTGCAACGAGCAGTGATGCGGCACACACGTCGGGGTCTGAGATCTTGTTAACGGTGTGGGCGTTTCTGCTTTCAAGGGTCGCAAATTGCCATTACTACTGGGGGGGCCAGCAACAGCAAC